TGAAAAGTAAAATTGGTTATTTTTACAAAAAGCACAAAAAACAAGTATCGTTAGATAATTGGATTAGCAACAAGTAATTTGTAAATTTGTTAAACGTAAAATATGTAACGATTTTCATAGTATAATAAAGTCACATGATTTTAATCTTAATATAACAAAGTTTTCTAAAAAAATATATAAACTTCGGTATATAAAAAAATTTGATATACCAAAGATCACTATATACCGAAGTTTTAGTCTTGAACAGTGACTTCAGTATATCGAGAGTTGACTATATGTTTTTTATACATAATTTAAAGATTGTTTCATAAGATTATCTGTGAATACAAAAATTATTCGCATATCTGTGAATATAACAAGATAAGGATTATCCAGAGATTATCCACAGATTATCCATATGAAATTATTTATCCATAGATACTATTTGAAATAACAAAATGGATATTCACAATCCGTAATCTGTGCGGATACACAAATGATGGATATACAGATCTAAACTCTAGTTGTCATTGATAATCATTTCAAGTCAAGAATCGTAGCTTCTGCAATTATAGAAGACGAAATATTAGATATCTTTCAATGGATTCTAATAACATTATTTGACGAAACAGATATTAATCCTGAGATTATATTTACCAATTCAAATCCATCTTTAATTAGTGCAATCAAGGAAATACATCCCAATACTAACTATTTATTATGTATTTTCCATATTGACTTAAATTTTCATAAAAAACTTAAGGGTAAATTAGGAGTTCGCTTTGAAGAATTTTGTTACAAATTTTATACTTGCTAAAATTCTTTATATATAGAATTATTTGAATCATAATAGGTACAATCAATTGTTCAATATCCTGAATCAGCCAAATATAGTATATATTAATAAAGAGTTTGTGTAACATCTCTTGGATACATAATCAATTTATATGTGACACATAGAATACCTAAAGAATAGAATCCATTAATAAGCAAATACATAATAAAATTAATTGGTCTACCTCTTTATGTGATTTAATGATTAATATAAATAATTATATTAAGTATAAAGAACATTTTGAAAAATTTGAAATTGAGCGTAATGTTCTACCAACTGTTAAATTACCAATGTTGTATAATAGGTTTTTGGTTAGGTAAATGATAATATCAAACAATACTTAACTCCTATTATGTTAAAAAAGTAGCAATATAATGAATCAATCGGTATACTATGATTTGAATCATATTATAAATTGGCAACAATTATTAGAGTTATGTTGTGTTGCTTGTTGATTATTTGTTTATTTTTTTTGTATCTAATATTAATTGTTTTTTTAGACAGATATTAATAATGAAGAGATTTGTATGGACTTCAGGAATAAGAATAAGATATTTGTTAAGTTTTTTTCAAATTATTGATTAAAGATGTATTTCAAGAAATTGTATTAAAAGTATGCCATATTTGAGCTACAGGAACATCAGTTATTAGTTATTATGTGATGCTATTAAATAATGGTACATATTTATGTACATGTTTTTTATTAATAAATAAAAGTTTAATATGTCTAGTGGTCCGATCCTAAATCCGATAAATCCGGATTGATCCTTCAATCCGGATTGGAGTCAGATATCCGTATCCGATATTTCTAGGTGAATAGATCCGTTAATAAATCCAGATGGTAATCCTAGGATGCTGATCCGGATGATAAATATTTTTTTTTTTTTTTTTTTTTTTTTCAAATTTAAAAATTTTTTTTTTTTTTAATTTACCATTTCGAAAATTTTCTCATGAGCCATAGGTACTATCATGACTTATAGCCCCTTAACCCCTTACCCCTTTTATTTTCCTTTTTTATTTAATTTTCATGAGACAATTAAATGAAGTCGAAATTTTTTTTTCAAAGACATTTTTCCTAACGATAACAAATAAACTCAAGAATATTATTATTATTTGATTTATCAATTATCAATGATGGCAGACGAATTTGATTATATTCATATTGAGGACGATGATAATAATAATATACGAAATTCTTTAGCTGATAAAGGAGTCAGTAATGCTGATTAATAATTACTTCAATAATTAATATTTTCAATTTCTAATCAATTTTTATTAAGATAAAGAAACAGATACGGGTTTTCTTATTAGTTTAAGAAGCTCCGAAAGTGGTAGTCAAAAAAGTCAAGGTGTAAATAAAAGAAAAAAATAATCATTTACAAAACAGTATTTTGAAAAAGGATTTAATATAAAAGGAGAGGAAACTCGTATTTGTACCATTTTAAGTAAAGATGGTAATCGATGTGGCCAAGTGTATCGGAATACTGGGAGCTCAACCGGAAATCTTATTGCACACTTACGAGATATTCACCAAATTATTGACGAAGATAATCATGATGGTGAAAATAATTATAAAAGGGTAAATTTTATTTAAATCACCAAATGTTTAAAGTATATTAAATTTAATATTAATTAATTGTTCTTTCTTAGTTGCGAAATACCAAAATTACTGATTATGCTCGATCTCATCATCCTCATCCTAAGCATATTCAAAAGCAACGGGAAGAATCTCTCTTTAGATGGATGCTACTTACTGACCAACCTATTTCTACCGTCACAAATCCAGCATATAAAGAAAAAATGTCACAATTTGATCCTTCATTTGTAGTACCTAGAGAACAAAAAATCAAAACAATGATAATTAAAAGTTTTCGATACAATAATCAAAACTTAAAAAACATTTTAAGTGAAACTGCCGTATCGGTATCTCTCACTACAGATCTTTGGTCTAGTAGAACTAAACATGGGTATATTGGCATCACTGCAACGTGGATTACACCGAATTTTGAAGTTAAGGATGTAATGTTAGAAATAAAGTATGCTCCTTCCCCCATCCTGCAAATGTTGTTGCTGAATTACTTTATGAATGTATTTCAAGATGGGATCTTAATGGACGTGTAACAGCAATTGTTACTGATAACGGCTCAAACATGAAGGCAGCATTTCCCTTTTTAATTAAAAAAAATCAGTGTGAAGCTATTCAACGACTTTCTTGTACTGCGCATACAATTCAGTTAGCAATTGGAAAAGGGTTAGCACCTGTGGAAGTTTTAATAGCGCGCGTAAAGAGATTAATCAATTTTTTTTCAACACAGAAGCAAATAGAAAGATTGGAAGAAGTTCAGCGCAAATTAAAATATGAAGATGTAATGCGTTGTGTACAAGATGTACAAACGCGTTGGAATTCATCATTTTACGCTTGGGATCGTCTTTTTTATCTCAAGGATGCAATCATTCAACTTCAAGCTGATTTATATACAAGTACCAGTAGAGAGGACAAAAATGATGGTATTAAATTAAGAAAAATTTTATTATCTGAGGATGAATGGGATTTATTAGATAAATTAGTTGATGTTTTACTACCATTTGAGGAAGCAACTCGGGAATTTTCAGGAGGCACTTATGTAACTCTCAGTAAAATGATACCTTGTATTAATGAACTTATTTTCAATTTAGCACCATTGGATAATACAAATGATAATGATATTGATTATTATAATGAGGATACTGTATTTGAAGAAGATATTTTAGATGTAGAAAACGATAATGAAGAAATTATAAGTAATATTACTAAAAAGAAGATTTATATTAAAGATCCGTTAAATACTGAGGGAGCTATAGAAAAAGTAAAAAATAATATATACAATGCCTTGCTTTATTACTGGAATATTCATCATGATGCAGGATTAATGGCTTCTTTACTAGATTCTCGTTATAAAGAAATGGATTTTGTATTAGATGATGAAAAGGAAAAAATAATTTGAAAGCTTCGTGATGAGTTTAATGAAATGGAATCCAATAACTCAACACCGCACTCACCTGCAGTAGAGCCATCAAATGTAACTATGCCTTCTTCAGATGCAGAATCATCATTGCGCTCGCAGAAAGGATACTGTCAACGCCGTCAAACTAAAAGTAAAAAAGATAAATCACTTGCAGCCACTGATGAAGTCAGTAATTATTTAGAAATGCCGGTTGCATTGGAGGAGGAAAATCCACTAAATTGGTGGCGAATTCGTGCAAAAATTTTTCCAAAATTATCACAAATTGCCCGCAAATATCTTGGAATTCCTGCGACTTCCGTGTCAAGTGAAAGACTATTCTCGCATGCTAGTAATCTAATTACAGTAAAAAGAACGCGTTTGGATACAAATTTGGTAGGACAAATGTTATTTTTAAAAAGAAATATTCGTTCAATGGAAGTTTTTGCAAAAGAATGGGATGGCGAAACTTGGGAAATTTAATTAGAATAAATTTTTCATTAAGTTTCATAATGTATTTTTTCTTGTTAGTCTAATAAAATATTTTACTATTTCTTTAATTCAATGAATTCAATTATATTATAAATATTACCAATTTTATTATTTATTTGTTTAAAACTTGAAAACTTTATAAATAATAGAAGTAATTAATTAATAAATTCATTTATACAGATCATCCGTTAAATTTTGGATTAGGATACATCTGAATAGATCCAAAATAAAGGATGGATCCTTAAAATCGGATGGGATTAATCCGGATGGATCCTAAATAAAGGATGAATCTGTTGATCCAGATCATCATCCGGATTGGCTGTAAAGATTCGGATTGAATCCGGATGACTCTTTAAAAATAGGATCGGACCACTAAATATGTCAGCACTTTTTTTACATTGTTACTTATTCTCAATCAGCTATATATCATATAACTTTTATATCAGCCTCATTGGTACCTTAAGCCTAATATCAATCAAAAAACTCTTTTATAACAAATACTAGCTATTATATTATGTTCTACAAACAATTCAGATAAAAATCTTCCTATTACTAATAGTACATTCAACCATTTATTTTCCATTTGATTTATATCATGCAATTCTAATTCAATAACAAAGTCAAACAAAACTATATATGCAAAGTTGTTTGAATTATCAAGAAAGGTTATTGATTTAGCTATTAAAGCTGATATGTACTAAAACCTATTTAATATGTTTAAAATATTTCTATATGATATGCAAAACAAATTTGATGAAAAGCAGCAAACAAATGAAGAAGATTACTTTGATATTAACAATCCCAATATCATCAAGCATAAAGGACATCCATCAAAAAAACTGCAATCAGATGTTGAACAATCCTTCTTTAAAGGTAAATATGCATTAATAAATAGCATAAAAATTGATGAAAATGTAAAGAGTAGTAAAGGACGTAGGTGTAGAAAATGCAAACAGTATAGATATTATGCTAAAACTTGCCAAGCTTCAATGCTATAATTTTGAGTTATACATTGAAATTTTTTTTTTGGTTTGTTAAATAGTTATTGAGATTGTTGGTTGTGAAAAGCATTAGTTAGTTAAAATTTTGGGTTGTTAGGTTGTTGGTCATTAAAAGCATTAAAATATGGTTATAAAAGAGAAGAATTTACTACTATTTTAGCAGTAGTAAATATCAAAAACTAACTTGTATACATATATAATAAAATAACTGAAGCCAAAATAAAATCAACTTACAAGTGTTTATTAAAAATTAAATAAAATTTATTAGTTAAATCATATTGTGTTTTCATGTAATTTATTATAACTATGTGACACATATAGTGTACAAATAGAAATCATCTATTTATTTTTATTAAAAAATAAATTATAAAATAAAAGTTTGTATATAAATTTCTAATATTTTATTTTAAATATATTTTTCTTTTTTTTATTTTTTTTTACTTTTTTATTTTGTTTTATTTAGTTTAAAAGTACTTTAATTATATATTTTTTACTTTATATTACTTTTAACTTTTATTATTCTAGTTTTTATTTTTTCTTTAATATTGGATACTTTTTTTTTAATTATAAAAGATAAATAAGTCAATCATTTAATAATTCCAGCCAAGATTAGAAAGTCACGTGAATGAGAATTTTAAGCGTAAATACGTTAAATACGTTACACACCACGATGAATAATTAAATTTTGATTAACGGGAAAATATATGATTGGTGAAATTACCCTTGCTCACTATGAACCGGTGATGTATAAGCATTACACTGGAATTTATAATATATTATTATTATTTACGTTGCATCATCAATGGCAAGTTAATTTTTAAGTAATGCATGGGTTACACTACAATTAGAAACTTTGAGAGAGGAAAAACTATATAAAAGCTATTTGCATGTACGTTTATTATAAAATTATAATCGGAATTTTAACATTACTTTTCGAATGGAATCGCGGCAAAATATATTAAAAACTTACGGAATTCCCGTCAGCTCACGACCATCAAATGGAGGTTCCAATAAAAGGACAACCATGAGTACCACTTCTAGTCGTACTAGTAAAAGGTATTCTGTAAATGCTCTCTATTCAATGGCCGCTGAACAAGATGTTGAAGTTGAAGATGATCTGGCCAGAGGTAGAGTATAGTTAAGATTGGGAAGAATCCCTAAAATTAACTAGATTATTAAACAAAATTAGAAACGTACAGCACTTATGATCATAACTGTTTTACAGTTTTTTTTCTTACAATACACGGTTCTTATATAGAATAGCTTGGAAAAGGCTCGGCCGTTCTTCAAGAATTTTCTAACGAACATTTATTGTTTATGTTATTTTTTCTAGCTCAAAAACGTTTAAGGGAATTAAAAAGTCGAATTTCGGCACAATCCAAAAAAAATTTTGTTCTGGAAAGAGATGTTCGATATTTGGATTCACGTATAGCATTATTAATTGCGAACCGAATGGCATTAGATGAGGTATTTAAATTATTATTCACAACAGCAAGGTTAACTGTAGAAATAGTTTATTTATTTTCAATTTAATTGTTTATGAAAGAAACAAGAAGTAGAAAGTACGTTTGAGGATACAGATTCATCAGAGGGTACTTTTCCAGATGATCGTAAAATGCAACAATACGGCAATCTGTTTTTCTTGCTTCAAACAGAACCGAGACATATTGCGGTTTTATGCCGCCTGGTCAGTCTTACAGAAATTGATACTCTATTACAGACAGTTATGTTCACACTATACGGAAATCAATACGAAAGTAGAGAAGAACATTTATTATTAACGATGTTTCAGGTGAGTGACCGAATATCATTAAATTTTAGTTAAAATCCATTTTAATTCCATTAATTGATTGCTCTTTGTGATAATTAAATTAGTCAGTACTTTCAGCACAATTTGAGACCACGTTAGATTTCAACTCCCTACTTCGAGCAAACACACCAGTTTCACGAATGATGACAACATATACTCGACGAGGACCTGGACAAAGCTATCTTAAGTCAGTCCTTTCAGAGCGAATTAACAATTTAATTGAGCACAAGGAACTAAATTTGGAAATTAATCCGTTAAAAGTATGATTGTTATATATCTTTTTCTGTTGCTAAGATTTCTGCGATTTCGCATTTATATTTCATCTTGTATTAGGTTTATCAACAAATGATTAAGAAAATCGAAGAAGATACCAATTCATTGCCACAGGGATTGCCACGTGCGGTTACACCAGATGTAGCAGCAGCAAATACTGATGTTCAGGCCATGATAGCACCACGAATAAAAATGCTCATGGAAATAGCAAATTCTTTCCTTAATACAATAATAGAATCTATAGACCAAGTTCCATACGGCATTCGCTGGATCTGTAAGCAAATTCGTTCATTAACAAAAGTTAGTATCATATATTAGTATTATTCTTTAGTTTTTGAATTGCATTCATGAAAATGATTAATACTGACATTAATATCGATAGAGAAAATATCCTGATGCTAATGAATTTGCCATCTGTTCACTTATTGGCGGATTTTTCTTTTTACGGTTCGTAAATCCAGCCATAGTAACACCGCAAGCTTATATGTTAATAGAAGGAATACCCGGAACTCATCCAAGACGTACTTTGACTTTGGTGTGTAAAATAAATAGAGTTCTTTATTATCTCCTATTATTTTATTACTTAATTATACTTTTATTATTATAGATTGCAAAAATGTTGCAAAATCTTGCAAACAAACCTTCTTATGCAAAAGAAGAATATATGAGTATGCTAAATCCATTCGTAGAGAATAATAAGCAGAGAATTAATAAATTTTTGATGGATTTGTGTGAAGTAGGAGATTTTTACGAAAGTCTAGAGGTGAACAATAATTTTTACGTATTATCACTATCTTGAAAGATATTTTTACTTATTATTCATTGAAAATAGATGGATCAATACATGGCATTGTCTAAAAAGGATTTGGTTCTAAATATCACATTAAACGAAATATATAATACGCACGCCTTGTTAATTCAACATGAAGAAGTTTTGGTATAGAATACTGCTTTTGAAATAAATTATGATTTGAAAATTCTTACTTCTTTATTAAAAAAGAAATTATTTCGCCTGTTACATTAGGCACCATCAGAAAAAAGTCATTTGCATATACTTTTGGATGATATCGGTCCCGCTCCTCCTCAAGTACCTAGGAAGGAAAACAAGACAATAGAACTTCCATTATTCAGTCGTTGGGAGACACCCATAAGAGGTATCATTATCGTACTGATTGTTTTGTACATTCTTACAATACTTTCTTATTTATTTTTATATTTTTAGATCTTGCTTCGGCTCTCATGTCTGATAGTAGTGTCACACAATATGACATTTTATATATGGAGACTAAGTCTATTTTTGTACAACTCATTCGTTCTATTCCACGAATATCGGAACAAAAACAGATAGATCTACCTACGATTGCTGAAACAGCGGCTACTACCAAAGATGCTACTTTAGTTCGCAAAGGAATAAAAGTCAAAGAAATGCTACGTGAACTCGAGGAAGTTCAGATAATGGACCGTGAAGATGGGTATCGTCTTATGACAGAAGAAGTTGCTCAAGAGTTGGCACATCTTGGTAATCTTCGCGAGAAAATCACTGAAGAAATTCGGTCTCTTGAAGCAGTTTATAAAACTATATGCGATCACAATAATTACCTTAGAAGTCAACTGGATAGTTATAAAGCATATTTGCAGAACGTGAGACAACAGACTTCAACCGATCTTACTAGTACAAGTGTAGTTAAAGTAGGGGACAAAGAGAAAAAACCAGCAAAAATGAAAGTTTTAGGTCCATATAAATTTTCTTATGCTCAATTGGAAAGAGATGGGATCATTGTGGAGAGTAATGTTCCAGATAACCGGTAGGTTATATGAAGGATACTTTCTCTATTTTAGTCATTTGTATTTACTTAATTCAATTAATAGGCGGCAGAATATCTATTTCAATATCACTTCACCAATTCCTGGTACCTTTATCATTGCATTACATTATAAAGGGAGGGATGCTGCTATCTTGGAAATGGATCTTAAGTTAGACGATCTTTTAGAAAAGGTAACGTTTTAGTCATACCGGATATCTACATTTGTTTCGTATCAGTATATTAACAGAATAATCACTTATTTAGCAACAAGATAATGTTATGTCATTGGATCTTGAATATGTGCAGTTAAACGTTCCCAAGATATTACAGTTATTGAACAAGACATTTGCTAAGCGAAAGACGTAGTTGTTGGGAATCAAATATTTTTTGATAATTTGTTTACATTATATTTCTTTATTTATGGTATTTTCCTTTATTTTATTGTATTTATTTTTTTTTTTCAATAGGGATACTTCCGATGCCTGGGGCAAATTGTGTCTCCCCATATGCGTGCATTATCCTATCAATGGATGAAAGATGTGGATTTCATGATGAAAAAAAAAAGAACCTGCTAAAGTTGATGGAATACCAAGAGAATACGTTAATCTTACAATTCAACCCGGTTGCTTGAATCAAGCCATTAGAATCATAGATATTTGTTTATTTCCTTTTCTTAAACCATTCTTTATTTCTAAATATGTGGAAAAGTAAATGGTTTATATTTTATATGGGGAAGCACAATTTGCCTCCAGGAACCAAGTAATGATAAACCATAAAAAAAAATATTTATTTGGGTAAAGTACTATTTATTATTAATAATTATATGACAATTTTTTATGTCTTATTGATATTTATTATCTAATGGAGAATTAATAACTTAGGAATAGATCAATAAAATAAATCATAAACTAGTTTTTTTAACTAATTAAATTTAATACAAATAGATTATAACTAATTTATATAAATCTAATTTTAATTTAGATAATTTACAAATTAATTTAGTTTGTTTTCTGATAATGAATTTTTTTTTAAAAAAAATTTTCTGAAAAAATTTTTGTTTATGAAAATTTTTATTAAACCTTTTTTTTTCAAATATATTGTTAAATTCATATATTTAATTTTGGATGAATTTATTTTTTACTTATTTTTCAGATTATAATAAATTGTCAAAAATATCATAAATAGTATTTAAATTTCTTAAAGTATTAAGTAAATTTGTAGAGCAGACAAAATTACTTATAAGTTATAATTTTAAAGATTATATGAAGTTTATATTAAGTTTTATTTTAAAAAAAAAAAAATTTCCATCAAAAATTATGTTCTTTTTTTTTTGAAAATGATTAGCAAAAAATTATCATCATATCATTTTTATATATTAAATCAATAAATTTTTTCTATAATATACTATATATGAATTATAAAATTAATTTTGAATATCAATTTTAACTTATTTAACAATTAAATTTATTTTTATTTTTATTTTTTTTTTTAAATTTAATCTATTTAATATTTTATTTTAAAAATTTTCATTTTACATAATTTTTATACTAGTATTATAATATTCTTTTGGCCAGAATTAAAAATCTAATAAAATACTGGTTAGCATTATATTATAAATTCATTACTGATGATTATTATTACTAATATTATTTAACAATATATAAATTTTAAAACTAAATATTTTTTTAATTTATAAACTTAAATTTATAATAGTTTATATATATTATTAGAGGTCTATATGTCTATATTTAACAATAAAATTGTAGTACAGTTAAACCTATTTATAATCATTACTTTTAATAAGCTAAAATTGATAATAATAATTATATAGTAAATTACATATTACAATCAACTTTCTCTATAATTGCATATTTAGGACAAATATTTAATGACTATAATGAGATATAATTATAAGTAATAAAATTATATGATTTAATCATTGACTAAATATTCAAATTACAATAATTTTGTTAATAACCTGATAGTGCATACATAGATTCTCTAATAAAATAATAAGTGGTTTATTTAGTACTTAATAATATTAGACTTTTTTTTTATATTTGATCATATATATTATATTAATATAAAAATTGTTTAATAAAGTATTAAATGTGCTGCAATTAAAACAAAAAAATAAAAAATATAATATACTTTATATTTCTTATCTATATATATGCTAGTCAAAAAATGATATATTCTATATATATCCTATACTTATTAGTACCAAATATACACTGGTTAAAAACTAATATATCGGGTAGCAAATATGTATCAGATATATCATATATACCTAATATGTATAGTAAAAATGCAGAAAATCAGATACCTGCTGATATGTGTAAGATATGTGTAAATATATACAGTCAAACCTTGATATAATGAACCTTTGATATAGTGAATTTTTCAGACAACTATAATAAATTTCCCCTTGCTATAACGAATTAACCAATCAAATCTCGTAAAATCTTCACTATAGCACTATAGTAAAGTTGAGGTCTGGAACCTAAGATTCATTATAACAAAGGTTGACTGTATGTCATTTACATATCAGGTACCAATATGTATATGATATATAAATAATATGTAAATAATATATATATTTACACATATCTTACACTAGTCAAAAATCAATATATCGGGTAGCAGATATGTATCAGATATGTACCTGATATGTGTAGTATTAATGCAGAAAATCGGGTACCCGATATGTGTAAGATATGTGTAAATATATATATCGTCTACATATCATTTACATATCATATACATATCGGTACCCGATATGTATATGATATATATATTTACATATATCTTACACATATCGGGTACCTGATTTTCTGCATTAATACTACACATATCGGGTACATATCTGATACATATCTGCTACCCGATATATTGGTTTTTGACTAGTGTCAAATAGGGGAAATTAAATTTTATGCATTTCTGATAGTACTAATGGTAGCTTATAGGTTCTTTACCGATTCTAGAAATAGGTATAGCGCTTGATGGGTTACGTATAGCATAGTCAACTTTACTCATTTTGAAATAGATTTGGAGGGAGTAGCCGTATATAGTTATTTGTAAAGAGAAGGTGGGGTTTATAATCTTAGCTTTTCTATATTTGTAATTTTGGAAGATTATTTGTTCTTTATTTTTCTATTAGTTTTGCACTTATTGCGGTACTTTTTAGAATACTCTGTGTTCTCTAAAATTACTTCAGTATTAATTAATAAAATTCAAGCTCAAGCTATGTTTGCCTAGTTTTGACCAAAGGTTCACCTCTTTTTGGAAAACAACTCACTATCCAGCCTGGCATTGGTACTTGTTCTATTGTACACTGGATTTCTCCTCATTGTGACTCTTCATCAGGTGATATTATCAAACTTTCTCCTTGCACTGGCTGCGTGGCTAATATTCCTCTGCCTCCCTCCAAAAAGTGAAATGCAGATTTAACTCTTTGCACGCAAAAGGTCTCTCTTATACATTTGCTCATCCTTCCTACCGTTAATGAATGAATTAGAAGAAATACCTCTGAAGTGCACAAGTCAAAGAGTAAAAAATCAGGCATCAATCAGGCACTGATTGGTGACTGATTGATGCCTGATTTTTCACTTTTTGACCTGTGGTAGTCACCCTCCTTATGTGGGCTGATATAAAAGATGGAATTCGATTTTACTATAACAGATGGGATGTTGCTCCTGATTTTTCCCCTGTAGACATTATTGAGGCTCCAGTTATCCCTACCACCGTTAAATCCTCAGCTGCTGCTATTTTTGCTAATTCTCCTTTAATTCCTTCTACAGATTCATGTTACATCTTTTTCACTGATGAGTCTCTTATTAACTTAGGAACTCCCAATGTTTCTATGGGCTGGTCTTGGATGCAAATTGTACTGGATGCTGGTTTTCCCAATTTCATCGCTATTTACGCACATGGCATTATTTGAGATAATTCCTTTTTCTCTCGTGCTAAAGCTGCTGCTATTTATGCAGTTTTAACTGTCTCTCCTCATGACTCAAAAGTTACTATTTATACTGACTCGTAAACTGCCATTAATGGCCTTAAAGGTTGTTCTTCTTCTTCCTATTCTAATAGCCATCTCTACTATAAAACTATGAACTTTGAACTTTGGGCTATTATTGAACGAACTATCCGCTTCAAGAATTTGATTGTTTTACTAATCAAAGTTAAAGCTCATTCCAACAACTATTTGAACGATTTTGCTGATTCCTTGGCCAATACTGCTCACACCTTATTGTCCAGTATTTTGATCTCTGGTTTGGATCTTGCCTCTGCCCACAATTTTGTTTTAACTTATGACGATGATATTGTCTGCAAGTCTAATCTAAGACACTTTCTCAAATAATATTATCAAACACAGTTGATGCGTGATTTATTGCATTTAACGTGATTTCACTTCACTTTTTTATTATCATCTCATATAGATTACATTGTTGATTAGGATCTTACTTGGTTCACTTTGAAATTCAAACCTTTTCATGATGCATCTTTTACCTTTGAATATGCTTCATAGCACCACACCTTCAAGTTTAAACTCTTCTTAGATGAATTGTCTACTTTGGAGAAATTTAAAAGAACACGCCCAGACTTATACATGGACGAATTAACTTGCCATTCTTGTATCGACCGCATGGAAGACTTGATGCACCTTTTTATGTGCAAAAGACGTCATTTGCCTATGTAACAAATTTTTCAATCTTATCAAAATTACTTGATTTCAAAAATATATAATGCTGAAAAATTGGCTGATATCGATCCAATTCCGTTTATTATTAAACTTACTTCTCTTTCATATTGGTCCTTTTTTTCTACAAATTGGTCCTCTTATGCCTTTATCCATGGCTGTCTACCCAAGCTTTTTGTTGACTTATTTGTCAATTTATCCATCCCAAGAAATTCCGCGATGAAAGTTGTCGCTGCTATTCACAACAATTTTATTCAAAAATTCAGAAGACGAATTTGGAATCTGCGTTCTTATGAGAAAAGTAGATGGAAAAACGCGATGAATATTACTTACAAGTTGAAAACTACTCCACGGCCGTCAAATTTGCCAAAATCTATATATTTACCTTACTTATCTTTACCACCTTCAACCCTACACGATTCACATGACTTCAGAACCGATTGGTTGAAGAACTCGATGAAATATGGTTTGCCTTGATTTAATCACTTTTCAGATTTTATGAATTGTTTAACAGTGCTATTAAATAACAGCTTTTGCAAGATGAAGTGTCAATTTTTATAGTGGGCGCGCTATTCGTTATTTTGTTAGTATAGTTGCTTCTACTTTGATTAGAATATATCAAGGGAAAAGATCTGGGAAAATTTAGTGTAATGCGATTTTTCTT